AATTTTAAAAGATTTAAAGGCAACTTTGAGTTAATTTTAACTAAAAAGTTAGTCTTTATTTAAAAAATGTTAAATATGTTAGCTAACTTTTCTACCTTTAAGTCTGGTTGATTAAATTCACTCATCAATGAACTAATAAGGATTTAAAAAATGCAATTCTAAACACTTGTTTTGGAATTCCCAAGTAAATTTTGAAATATTTGGCAAAGGGATAAATAGACAGGGAACAACTGACTTGGCAACAGTTCATTATGGTTGATAAATATGATTTCACAGTTTCTTACTGTCTTTAAGCAAAGCAACAAAAAGATGAATTTAAATCTCAACACCAAACTTGATATCTCCTTAGCTAAAATAAATTTTAATCAGTAAAGCAAAACTACATGATAAAGTTGTTTTTGTATTCTAACAATAAATCTCTGCACGTTTTCATCAGCGATGGTATCTGGAGTAGAATTACTGCTCTTTTATTTTGTGATTGGGACAGTCTTTGCTGTGGTAACTCAATTACAGTGGCAGAAGCCCATGGCATTATGTTTATTAGAAAAAATAGACCTTGAGGAGTAAGCAAGCTAGTGACAAGCGCCAGAACTTGCTGCAGGTGCACTACAATGACATGTATTATTTCACCAGGTAATTTCTCAGCTGAGATCTGATGGACATAAACAAGGGAGCAAGGCCAGTTTTTCTTGCTGAACTGTTGCTGATATGTTCTAAGAAACCACTGCCTAGTCCATCTTTAAAGTCACTGATAAGAAGAGGGAAATGGGGATTTAAAAAAGGAATTAATATGTGTTACGTTACATACATGTATCAACTCCACACAAGGAATGTAACATTGAGTACTATAAACGCATACTAATAAAAAAAAGCACTAAGCAACTTTAAAGGTCTGAATCTATACGGCTACATCTCTAACGTAGCAATGGAAAGGCACAGACCTGCCTTCTAGGAGCACACAGGCAGACAGGCAGTGATGCTGGGTAAAAGATGAGGCTGGAAAGTCACCAGAATCAGTGACAGCACAGAGGGTGAGGCACTGAGCCCTGAGTGGAGGCTTTTCACAATTTAGTTGCAAGATTATGAGCTTTCCACGAGCATAAGGAGACAAGGACATTCCAGGCAGAAGGTACAGCATGTGAGAACAGAGTAGACAAGACCATGTGTTTGGAAAATGCAAATTCTCCAGTGTGACTGACGTGAGGTCAGACAGTGAGGCGTGTGGGAGGAGCAGGACTGATGAGCAAAGAAGCAATGTTCCTCAGCTTTGATTCTCACTCTCAGAAGGTTAGAAGTTTGCCTATAGATATCACAGTGCTTCTTTTCCATGGTCGTTTCCTTAAGTCACTTTCATAAGTGATTAATTTGAATTCAAATCTGATAAAACCCTATTTGTTGTCAGCAATGGCATTCACTTACCACCCGTGTTTTTGCAAAACTAGTCTGTGAGCTGCCTTAAATCATTTCAGTGACAGACATTTTTTATTAATCTCTGTGTGAGCACTTGGCATATACCTGGTGCTCCAAAATGTTTGTTGGTTTGAAATGGATTAAATTTAATTAGTATGTATTGGTGATATTTTCACCAATAAAGGAGACCAATAAATACTAAGAACAGCAGAAGTGACTTTGAGAGAAAAATCTCCTGTAATCAAGAAGCTCTTTTCCTGTTCAGAGAAAAGTCTGTATGGATTTCAGATCCAGGTCTTCTCTCACTGCTGCTGAAAAGTTGGTACCTCGAGACACACCTTGATTAACCTCTAACCTTGAATGCAAAATTACAGATGCTAATATAGATCTCAAGGGGTACTTGAGAAGATTAAACCAAGTGAAATGTTTGTTGTGGAGGGCTTTCACACCAATTCATGGCTTTCTTTCTCCTCTCTCCTGGGAGAGAATCAGTAATAACACAAATAACATGATAGAGATTGTGTTGGCATAATATAGTAAAAGAAACAATCAAATGAGTAAAAATATGAATTATTTGTCTTGTAAATATTTTCCTTTGCAGATCTGAGAGTCTTAAAGCTGCCTTTCTCTGTGAATAGGGGTAAAAAGAGGGTGAAGGAAGCAAAGGAAATGATACCAGAGAGAGGGAAAAGGGGGGGAAGAATTCATGACAGCTATGACAGCTTGATCATGGGTGGACTTTATTGGAGCCTGAGATGGGAGAACATTGGATAAACATGGATGGCACACCAATTACATCCCATGTTCTCCAGAAGCTCTCTGTCTAGTAGAGAGGACTTGAATATGAATAAATTTTAAAACATGGTCGAGACACAGGCAAAGTAGCAGAAGATGATTAATTATTAAAATGCATGGAAGCATGTGTGCATGAGGGCCAGGGCAAAAATACCAGGCAAGGCTATGACAGCAAGAGGCTGCAGAGGGGTGGAAGCAGAGAGCACATAAGTTGAAGTGTACAACCTCTGAACCTTTCTAGCCCCCCCGCCCCACGTTCCTATTCTCTTGCACTTCCATTGCCATTCCCACACCTCCAGAGCATCCTAGACCCTTCTCCCTGCTTAGATAAGGAGCTTCTGGAGAGCACAGACTCAGCAATGTCCAGCCCTCTTTCAGTGTACTGTTCAGTTTACAATCATGTTTAATGATGGAAGACAGCTGCTGCTACTGAACTTCTACTTGCTCAGCTATTCTTCCTGCCCAGGATCCGCTTCAGCCCCTTCTTCCTTGTGGACTCATGTTTGCTCATATCACATGCAGATCTCAGTGCCCAAGCACTCCTCCAGAGCACTTTACCCTGTCACCCTGCTAGGGCTGGACTCCCCATTAGACATCTCAGGTACAGTATAGTCCTTAGTATCACTTCCCATAGCTTCAATTTAACATTTCTGTGGTCATTATTTGCTATAGGCTCACTTACCCTCATTAGGTAATAATGTGAGCATCAGGAAGGCCAACAATGTGTCTGCTCAACCCGGGTAGTTTACACCAAACACAATGTCAAATGCATATTAGAAAACTAAGTAATACCTTTTGAATGAATACATCCATGAAAAAAGATGGAGTGCAGTTAGAAAAGAAATAAACAGGAAGGAAAATACGAAAGGGAAAAGGAAGGAAAATACGAAAGGGAAAAGGAAGGAAAGAAAGGAAGTTTTGTGAGACATGAGTCAGGAGTATCAGGCTAAAGTATTCTTAGATTTTATTCTGGTAAGGAGCCAGTGTTAAGCTTTCAGTTGTGATATAGGAAAGTGCACTGGAAGGGAGAGAGACTGGAAGCAAGCAGAACATTCACATAGGACAATGAAGGCAAAAGCCTTAACTAAGGCAGTAGACATATGAACAGTATACAGGAGTAATAGTTAGAGGCTGAAACAATAGGATAAGATAAAGTCAAGTGGACACTTCCAGCTTCATCTACAGAAGCCACTGGTTTCATAGCCATCTTGGATTTGGGATTTAGCAGAATACCAAACAGCATCAAATAAAAATGTCTGAAGAGTTAAAGATCTCTATATTCATAGTAACAACCTAGAACATATTTAGAATCCAATAACAGTTTAGCATTATGTATGGTACTAAAGCATCTGACACTGCAAGTGCAACTCTAGGAAACATCTTTCTAGTAGATGACACAGCAGTTTCACAGAAGCTATTCCTAACAGAAGGACAATAAAATGGAAGTTGTTTGGCCCTTTAGCAAACTGAGGTACATCAAACTCTCAGGGCCATATTGAAGGCCAAATTTGTCTGAGGGCTATTCACCTGCACCTTTGTGACACAATGAAAGAAGTCAAAACACCAAATTTGAGATTGAAAGTAGAGCACTGGTGCATGTTTAGAAAAAATTATAACTGTACCTTTTCAACAGAGTTAATTAAATATAGATGCTATAATTTTAACCCATTTTTATTTTCAGTGTGACAATGTCACTGCGTTGAAAAAAATTAGGAATTTTATGGAATACTGTATGTTTGACTCTCACTTGGTGAACATTTTAGCATATATAACTGTTTATAATTACCTATATTATTATTACTCATTTTTTCTCAAAACCGTACACAAGTCGCCTATAATCTTCCTACCCCTGTATCAGTCTGAACCCTCCAGGATCTTCACACTGACTTACATCGCCAGCAGTTGGTTTATTTATTTGTTTATTTTTATTTTTGAGGCAAAGATATTCTAGGTTGCTAGGTTGCCAGGCTGGACTTGAATTTGTGATCGTCCTGCCTCTACTTCCAGGAGTGCTGGGATTACAGGTTCCATTATTTTTATAGAAAAGATAGTTTATGAATTACTTCCACTAGATTGTAGATGGACTTCAATAAACTGTACTACAGTGGTATATGTGCTGACCAGGTTTGGCATAGTTTTCAGTATGGGTTTACGATTCAAGTTTATCTTAACAAAATGGAGAAACAATATGAAATAACACACAATATGAAATATATTAGGGATATGTACTAAATATCATTCAGTACATGCAATTGTAATGTCTTCCATTAACTGAAGTTAAATTATGCCTTTGCTTTCAGTGATGAAACAATTATGCCAGATAAGTTTGCTTTCTGCTGTTCGTGACAGGTTTCACTGAGGATGTATTAATACACTGGTACGTTGATAATGAAAGCATAGTGCATTTCACTGTAACATGAGGAGTCATCCAGTCACAAGGATTACAGCATCCCTGAGTTCATAGAAGAAGCCAGGGAGACGAAATTCTAACATATCGTTTGCTTGCAGGTGCATTAACACTTACATTGGGTGTTATTCTCACAACACACTAAAAGAGCTTCAGAATTCACAGATACAGAGCTCATTTTTTTCCTGTCTTACATTTTTCTGCTTTCAAGTGTTTATCATTTTCTTTTTTGGGTAAATGATAAATAGTGGAAAGAACAAACTCTATGAAAATTTTATTTTTTAAAAGTTAACTTTTTTATCTTTTTTGGTACTGGGGATTGAACCCAGGATTTCCTACAGAATTTAATAGTGTTTGTATGAAGAGACATAATAAAAGTAAGACTTACCACCATGATGTATCGAGGTCTGTACTGAATGGTTCCAAACAAACCCAATATGACTACTATTATATGCAGAAAATTCCCAAGAATTGGTGCCCATTGGAAGCCAAGAAAGTCAAAAATCTGCCTCTCCAGTGCTGAGACCTGCAATCAAGCAGAGAGATTTCATCAGCAACTAACCCAACCATCATTATACCACATTAACCTTTACTTTATAGCTGGAGAAGTCTGAATACACAATTTCAATCATGCTTTTGAATAGCATTATCATTAGATTGCTATTTTATTTTGTTGCTGTGCTAAGGATCAAAACTAGAGCTTCAAGGAATCTGAACAAGTTTTCTACTACTGAGCAACATCCCAGCTCTTATCCCTACAATTGTAGTACCTATTTCAGATGCTATTTTCTCTCAGAAAATACACTCAAACAATATGGAATATTATTACTTCAAAAATAAATTGATCATAAATCTATCTGGAGAGGCAGAGATATACTCTTCACATCATTTTTTACAGTAGAAAATCTAGAAAAATATGACTTAAATTTATTGTGTTTATTACAGTGATTGGTTTGGGACAACCTATTTAGAATAATAACCAATAACTTCAAGCTTGCAATATGACAATGTCATTTTGGAAATGAAATGAAGCAACAGCAAAAAATCTCTTATCTTTGCCTTCCTGTGTGAAATATATATTATATCTGGGTTTTTTCTCTTTCATTAAATTACCAATAATAATTATGACCAAATACATTTTTAAAATGAAGCTTACTTACTTTACTTTGGGCTCAAGAGCTTTAGATAAAATGAGATTTTAACAGTCCCATTGAACTCTATTATACTGAGATCATATGCCTACAGCAAAACTCAGATTAGGTAAAATATCTGCTTTGAATACCTCAATAAAAATTATGTGGTCCAAGCAAATTTAAACATACCATAGTTTATTATATTTGCATTATGTATAGTTATATTTTTTAAATAGTTTTGCAATGTATCAAACTATACACTTAGGGCAGGGATTTAGCTCAGTGGTTCTGCCACCTGCCTTGCAAGCGCAAGGACCCATTTGATTCTCAGTATCAAAAAACCCCACAAAAACTATACACTTAAACCATTTATGATTAAAGAGATAAATTTCAGACGGGCCAATGAATACCAACAATGTCATTATTATGTATAAAATTTTACAATTCCACTTGCTGTGCTTGGACACTAATCTTACACATTGCAGTCATTTTTCTAGATTTTCTTTGGTAAGATAATTCTAATGAAGTGAACCAGTGATTAGCTATATTGATGGTAAAAGAAACTGCAGCTTTCAAATGGAAATGACACCCCAGGTATTTTTCTAGTTATGCAGCAGGTGCATGCCTGAATAACTTTAATTTCCTTGAACATAAAGAAACGATCTCCATCCAGTAAGCTGAATTTACCTTGGTTAAGTTTTGCCCTCAGCAAACTGTGGAGGGAAAGAGACAAGAGCTAATGCCTGAAGACAATCACACTAGATCCACATTCATTTCATGAGTATTTCCTGATAGCGAAGTGTTTTGTCACCAGCTTTTGCATACACAAATGCAGAGAAATGTTAAAACAGACTAATTTTCTTCTTATTATTTTGTGTTTTTTTGGTACCGGGGATCGAAAAAAAAGACTAAGCAGACCAACGTAAGAGAGATAGCACTGTGTTTTTAGTCTCATGTTTGTCTTTGCAGCTGACTGTAATTAATTCCCAGGAACCTTCCCCAGAAAAATGTAACATTTTATTTATTGGCCCATCAGTGATATAAATATGCACTGCTTTTTCTGTCCAAACAGAACGGATGGGGTCAGGAAAAAAGCAACCCTGAAGAGTAGCCGCAGGCAATTCATTCTGAAACAGCAATCCCACTTTAAAGCTGTCATGCATCACAAAAACCTTTAAAGTGAACTTTTCAAACAGAGAAAAACCTATTTCCTCTCTGTCAGAAAATGTATAGTGCTAGCATTTATGATATTAAAGAGAACTCATATAATGAAAGAGAACCTAAATTAATGTCACTTATTAGATCATATGCCTCCTTTATTCAAGATCCCCTAGGTACCTACGTGTTAATATTTATCTACCAAAAACTTAAAAGATGGATTTGAGGTAGATTGAAATAAGAGCACAAATGAAAGTTCATAAAAAATCATCATATTGAAAATAAGGCAAAGGACAGCTGCAACAGAGAAACAAGTAATGAAAACTAGATTTGAGAACTGCATTTTAAAAAGCCAGCTAAGAGTAACAAAAAGAACTTTCAAAAATAAAATATTATTGTATTGGGCAGCTTTCCAGTTTTGTTCCAGTTGATGGAACAAAATACTTAACACCCATAATTCAAAGGAGGAGAGGTTTATTTTTCTTCACACTTTCAGTTCATGGTTGGTTGGATGCTAGGCAGGAGCGTCCTGGTAGAAGGGCATGGTGGGAGAAAGCTCCTCAGCTTTTGGTGGCAAGAAAGCAGAAAGCAAGGGGAGAGCCTGAGAAAATGGGACGAGGAACCAGCTAGAGTTCTCAAGGTCATACCTTCATGACTTACTTCCTCGAACTAACCCTCACCTCCTCATAGCCCACTCAGCTATGAACTCATTAATGGGTGAACCCATTGCTGAGGTTATAGTGACTTTACAACCTAATCACTGCTTCAGGAGTCTCTTAAATCAAATTGACAATAAAGATTAATTGGCCAAGTTCACCCCTGTCAACCTGACACCTAATCACATTTCCTTAAACCATATTTAATCTCAAAACAAACATAACAACAAGGTCATAATTCCACCTACCACAATGTAACTATCCTGGGTACAACTGAAAACACTGAGGCCTTTCCCAGGTTCTCAACAGCTCCACCATTGCTCAAGAATCCCATTCCAAAGTTCCCTCTGAGACTCACTGCAAATTTTTAGCTGTGAGTCCCTCTAAAATCCAAAAAGCAAGGACAAGAATCCCCAAATACAAAGACACGGGACAAATTTTCTCATTCTAAAATGGAAGAATAATTGTACCAAAACAAGATCTAAACTGAGCAGGGCAAGCATTAAATCCTGTAACTTCATGTATGACATCAGGGACACGTGGTGGTGTGACATGAGCTGCAAACATCTTGGGCAGCACCCTTTTTATGGCGTTTCTGGTTGCAACCCACACAGACTCTCTCTTGGGCCCACTTGTACCCAGAGGCTTTCCTTGGCAAATGTTTTATGTCCCTGGCATCTCCAATTCTGTGTGTTCCCCTTCATAGCTTTGCTCTACTCATAGCTTTATGTATTGCCCTAATAAGGGCTCCTGGCAGGAATCCTAATAACCATGTCATACACTGCCTGTACCTCCAGGCCTTTTTTTAATAGCTGGGTAGAACCTTCCATTCTCTGAGACTCTATATAACTTTCGCAATCTGCATATCTGTAAAGCCAGCATCATGTGAATGATGCCAAAGTCTGCTGTCAGTGGGTGCAGTAGTCAGATCCCTTGGATCACTGGCTGTAGGAGCCTCTGATGGCTGACCATGGTGAAATGAATCCTAGGGAACCAATTCCCTAGGAGGTCCTTTTCAAGCAGGGAATCCATGGTTCACTCTCTCTTCTTAAGTGAAAGGTTTATACTTTTGCATTCTTGAGCCTTTAATGGGTAGGGTCTTGCTCATTTCTGAGATGTCTTTGTAGCATCTTTTTCCTGGTACCAGTTCAAAATACTTGATTTCTGTTTAATGACACTAATGTCTTTAGCAACAGCACCTCCCTTGCCTCCCACTAGACACATGCTTCTTTTCTGGAAATACTGAACATTTTAAAAGTCTTTCTGCTCCACTTTTTATTCTCAATTCTCAGTATAAATTTTACTAAAAACAGCCAGCAGTAACTGTGTCAGAACCTGAACACTAGACCAAATGGAAAATTCCTCTATCAGATGAATTAGTTCATTGTCTTTTAACTCAATTTCAAAGATTTTAGGGCATGGACAAAATATAGAAAAATTCTTTGCCAGACATAACATAAATGGCTTCTACTCCTATTCCCAATATATTCCCAGGTGAAAGTTTACAGTAAGATTGGCCTTTACTGTCCACATTCCTATCAGCATTCTGGTCTTCTGAGCCCTGACCTGAATCACCCATCAAGCTCTGCTTATGGCACCCCATCCAACACCTTCTCTAGTTCACTTCTCCAAACTTTTATGCTATAGTTTAAATCTAAAATGTTCCTCCAAAGTGTCATGTGTTCACAGATGGGGCTTTTGGAAGGTGATTGTGTCATGAAAGAGTTATACTCATAAGTGGACTAGTCCAATGACAAGTTCACAGAGGAAATAGTGATTTATAAGTTCACAGAGGGAATATTTAATAAATACATTAAACTCATATCTGATTGTGCTGTTAGAAGGTGGAGCCTGGTTAGAGGTGGGTCATTAGGGGGACCACCTGAAAGAATCTATTCTTATTCCACGTTCTTTGCTTTCTCTGCTTCCTGATTACTGGAAGGTGAGCATCTTTTCCTTTGCTACAACCCTTGCTCCATGCTCTTTCTGCCTTGGAGCCAGCCAAGGCATGCATTGAACCCCTTAACATCACAAACCAAAATGAACCTCTACTTCTTTAAGTTGTAGGTGTCATGCATTTTGCCACAGTGATGGGAATATGATCAATACATTTTTGAAACTACTTTAACAAGCAAGTTCCAAATACTTCTGAATTACCTCAGATATGATCATAGAAACATCACCATTTCTCTTGTGCCACTTTTTATATCTGTCAGCTTTCCCATTTCTTGGACAAAATACCCAGTACGTACAATTAATTTTTTTTTATTTTTAAATTTTTTTGGTACCAGGGATAGAACTCAGGACCTTGTACTTGCAAGGTAGGTAGCTGCACCACTGAGCTAAATCCCTGGCTGCCCAGTACCTACAATTTAAAGGAAAAGTTTATTGTGGCTTACAGTTTCAATGCTTGTGGTTCATGGCTAGCTGACTCAACAGCATAGAAAGTCAGGGTGAAAAAAGTTCTTTCAGTCTGACATTTGAGAAGCATATATCAAAGGAAGAGGCCAGAGGGGAAAGGGGCAAAGATGAGATCATCTCCAAAGTTATCCCATCATGATCCACTTCCTCAAATTAGG